CTGTGTTCACATGGGATTTCGCTGGGTGCTCTGAGTTCCTCTCAAAGTGGAGATATACTGGTAGTTTCATGAGCTTCTTGGAAAACCTACCCTGGTGTGAGTGTGTTCGTGTCTGTGTGTGCCCTGTGATGGACCGGTGTCCTGTACAGCTTTATTTGATATTGATTACTACCTTCAGCGAGGAGCATATTTCTGGATTGGAACTATCTAGTTTTCTCACAAAAACTGAAATGTCACGAAGTTGCCACTTGTCATGTTACACTGCCATCTTGTGGTCGAAGCTCTCACTGCAAACAGCACTTCTAAGATGTCACCTGGACTGATACAACCTCATGTGGTATTCGATGTGTTTCTTCCATTGGTTTCAGACATTTCCCTTAGTACTAGACAAACTGGAAAAGTACGGGGGGAATTGATCTTGAATTCAAGGTCTGTGTTGCCTCTACTTTCCAGGATAATGCCAAATGTTTAAGGAAACTTCTGTTCCAGGCAGACATGGCCCGTGAGGTGGCCTGGGGGAAAATGGTTTCAGCAACCAAATTGTTCTGGTTTGTGTGGTTCTGCTGAACAGTTAGTGCCTGACGTTTTACCATCACAGAGGAAATCCTGCAGCCGGGCATGAGCTCCCTCCTCACTGAAGTCCCAGGAGCTGCGGATCGTAGCAGCCCAGTCAACCTGAGTCACATCACAGAACACACAGGGAATTGTAAGTCAATGCGTTGTTCTAAATGCCTTGGGTTCCAGCCTATCCTCATAAAAAAACAGCAGTATAGTAAGCAAAATACAAGTGCTGGCAGGTGGATTAAACAGAGAACACACTGATGCGATCATGGATTCAGCTTTTTTATCTCGCACGCAATTGTCAAAAATAAAAGTAGACTAAGGACCTACTGATGTAAATGTCTTTACTCACTGTTGTGCCATCCTTTCTGCGTGGCATCTTGGCCAGATCCAGCTGATCCAGTGGACCGGACTGGGGCCACTGAGAGGGCACTGGGAGGGTGGCAGGGGCCTGGAGGACTGATCCCAGGCCTGGAGCAGGGTTATGCTGACAGCAGCTCATGAAATGGGAGACGGAGCCAATTCCTACAGAAAGCACAGAGGTGTGAGGACAAAATGAAGCTTATCTTTAGTGTGTCAGGGGCCTCATTTGCCTCTAGATCCCACTTTTACTTCTAGACTAGAATCTATATAGGTTTGGCTAAAGCTTCTCTGTATCACAGGGTAAAAATGCCATAAATGCTTAATGTGATCAGTCATGATGGTTTATGGCAGTATAGAACAAAGCTACACAGCCATGTTGTCAAAGCCAATAACTTCCTTCAGGAAAAGGCTAGATGAGATCAGATCAATCGCTACTAACTACCAAACGATGTAGTAACTATGCTCTTCCCTGTGCTCTAATGAAGAAATTTACATGTTGCAGTCAAGTTATGTTATGGACATTACCTACCTCTGAGCCCAACTCCCTCAGTGCAGACCGACCCTGGCTCTCGCAAGCAGTATGAATGGTACAGGTGACACTTCACCCCTTGGCTTTCTAGTGCTGAAAATGCCAGTTCATCGCGTTCCTTTAGCCAGGGCTCATACAACGCATTGGCCAAGAGTGTGTCAGCCCCGGTCTCAGAGACTAGGCTCTGCAAAGCCTGCTGGGTTGTTGTCTCCACTCGCCGTGTCACCAGGTGGCCGCCTAACTTGTGCAGGGACTGGATAAAGCACAGCAGGGCATGATGTAGCCAGTACTTACTGGCACTGCCCACTGCCACAGTGACACCGGGGCCCTCCTCCTCTCTGGGGCACCAAAGAAAAACTGGTATAACAGGGGCCCCTAATTCCAGGGAGCCAACCAGAGCAGGGTTATCAGACAGGCGGAGGTCCCGTCTGATCCACACTAGGACGGGTCTTGGCATGGAGGGGGATCGATGAACTGAAGAAGCTTTTTTCCTGGTTCTCCTCCTCCTGGAGGACCGGGACCCATCTGGTTGGCTAGTGTTGCCCGGCGGTGTACCACCTGCCCTTTCCCTGCTGGGAGGCTGACAGCCTTTGCTGCTGAGCTGCTCCAGCCTGGGATCGCATTCTCCACTGGAACTGGTTGCCTTCAATGCCTGGACACCTTGGCCCGCCCCAGGCTGAGACGCCTCACCAGCAACGTTGACGCAGACGTCCGTACTCCCTGATTGGAATGGAGTCTCCCTCTGTGATTCCCTTGCTCCGGGATGTGAGGAAGGCTGGGGTTTCTCCTGTTTGCTCACTCCCAGCTCCTGCAGGGACAGAGCCAGAGCCACTTCCACCTCTTCCTCCTCCACACCTGGGGCCTGAGCCTGCAGCACGCAGCGGCACAGAAGATTGTCAGAGTGAAGCACAGGGGGATTTCCCCTCACACCTACATTTCTCATTCCAGGCATAGTAATCAGACAATCTCAGTATTTAAGTATTTCATTTCCCCCTTTACTTTTCTTTTTCATGGACTGGCAGGTGTAAGGTCATTTGTGTATTCACAGAAGACTGATAAAACTGTTAAAAGCTGGATAGTTGTCACACCAGGAAATACATTCATATTTACAGAATGTACCTAATGTAATCAGATAAATAAAAACAATATAATTAGGTTTAAAGTCATAACACAATCATTACATTCATTTATTTTACTTTATTCAAGTTTATTTACCTTATGTCAGTCCAAAATGACTTGAAAACACTTGCTGACATTTAAAAACGTGCACAATCCCAAACTGACTTAATGCAGAGTAATCAAAGCAGTTCACAATTGATCAATATCCCATAAATTATGCAGATGCAGGACCTATAGGTCCAGTCTGAACAGGAGGGTCTTGATTACTAGAGGACATTTATGAATTAGTGGTAACTGTACCTAGCAGAGGAAGAGTTAAGCCATACCTGTGTGAAGTACTCCAGGAAGATGGTAGTGAGACACATGTGCTCTTTCTCATGTCTTAGTGCCAGAGGCTCTATCAGCTCCAGGAACTGCTCCTGTGTGTTCTGATGGCCCAGCAAGGACAAAGTGAGACAGAAGAACTCCTCTGTGTCCAGCTCGCCCAGCTGCAGTTCAGCCATCATCTGCTGGACCTGGGTCAGGAGCGTCACTGTTCCCCCTGTGTCACACATCCTTCAGGGAGCTAGGGCTTCTGTTGAGCGCGTGCTGAGCATACACTCCCTTGGTCTCTGTTTATTGATTTTCTTTTTCGGTCAATATCTTGTTTTCCGCTCTTTGCCGCACGATGCTGCTTCTGATTGATCTTGATCTTCCTCCTTCTTCTTTTTTTTTGGAATCACTCTGTATCCCCTTGACAAAGAGCAATCAAATTCCCCATCCTGGTACACTTCTTTAAAAAGATTTCTTACTAGCTCTGCAATCCAATGGGTCAGGAATTGTAGTGATCCCACGGATGATAGTTTTTCGCAGGATTCTCTGGGAGCTGTTTATCTCTTTTGTGTCCCCTATGTTGTGCATTCAAAATAAAGCTATGCCTGTTTTTAGATTTGTTCTAAGTGTGGATTCCAATTAAATATGTTCATATTTTCATTACAGAGCTAAACAGTATGAAACTAGTCTCTGCCTTTTCCATATATTAATATATTTACTTCAGTGAAGCTGCCGTTTCAAGTATACCTAAGTGACTGATGTGTGTCTGTGTGCTTCTCTAACTTACACGGCAATGTTACCAAACCAACTGGGTGATTGTTACACAAGTCCTCCCTCAAACTGTTTTATAAGCGCAGTGCTGACATCTGACACCCCTAGAGTCCTGCACGTGCTCAAATTAGCTCCTGAGTTTCCTTTCAATTGCAGAACATGACGGATTAACTGTTTATGTACCTCACCCATATAGATATCATTATTGATTTTGTAACTATGTTTTAGATCAGTGCATCCCAAACAGTTATATTTGTAGATTGTGTGATTTTGAAATTAAATTCAACTAATTGAATACTGTAAGGAAACCCTGGCAATTTAATCCAAATTCACTTTATAGCGTGAGTACACTAGTTAAAGTATTAGTCGTATTGGTTTGAAATGGAACTGCCTAAAACGTGATTAGAATGAAAAATCCACGATTCGTGTGGAGGATATAATCCGTACCTCAATCGTTAAATATTTGTCATCTTTATTAAATTTCAGAATTATTGTATTTTATTGGGAAGGAAAAGTTGGGGAAAGGTTTACGCTCTGTACAGTGTTCTGAATCACAACCACTTAACTTAAAAAGTCGGGAATCCGAATGATCAGAGCAAAACACATGAAGGCACCAATACCATAGAAAGCAGACATATTTGTAGGAAAAATGAAGCCACACTTGCGCTTTTTCGAATACTTCCGGTTCACTGTCGTAATGTCTGCACCTTATTGGCTGGCCTTGAAAATATCCCAAAATTCTCAGCTCTTCTGCTTCCTTTTTCCTTTCGGCCATTTTCGTCTTGGACGGTACGTGTAAATGGGGTTCAGAGTTTGTTTGAAAAATCTAAATCAATCCTTAGTTTTGTAATAAGCCTTTCGCCCCAGAAGGCTAGAATAGATAGGCGGTTATCTGATGGTTGTAAATATGTGAATATTGTTTGTCGGCGCGTGGATAGCAATCCGTGTGGCTAAAACTTTTGGTGCGGATCCCATCTCCTTTCTGAGCTTTCTCCGAGACAACCATGCTTGTCTGTTTTATTTAAACGTTTTTAGTACTCGCGCCGCAATGATTTAAGATTTTTTTTTTAGCTTTTGAGTCGTAACCTAAGTTGTTTAAGAGAAAGTCGTTACAAGTAGGAGATTCCGGTGCTTTATTCGTTATGTGATAAACTGCAACGATGGTGCCTGTTTGTGTCCTTTTACCGTTAGATATAGTAAGAAAACATCTTGTTCACCATGGGGGGGAGTTTCTGTTCTGCTATGCTGTACTTCTTGTACACTGTAGTCTAGAGCTGACGAGTTCATAAAAAGTCTAGTACGGTACCAAAGTGAATCCTTGATATGTAGGTTGTGGTGAATTTCTGGTCCCTCTTCGATTTGATTAGAAGAGGCGATAGAATCATTGAAGTTTAGACTGTTAGGATTGGTAGGAGTTATGTTCGTTTACATTTAATGCAGACTTTGCAAAGCGAATGAATTCTGTTTTGACATGTAGTCCAGTGAAAAAGGAAATGCTCTATGTCGGTGTGATACTACCTACGGTGAAAGTGCTAAAAGGATAAGTGGGATTGACCTTTTTTCCCCTTCTGTGAAATAAAGGAAATAAGTAACCATGGCCCCCAGTCGGAATGGCATGATTCTGAACCCTCACTTCCACAAAGACTGGCAGAAGAGGGTCCGCACCTGGTTCAACCAGCCTGCCAGGAAGTCCCGCAGGTATGCATCCCTTCGCTTAATGAAGCCTTCTCTTACAGGGAATAAGAACTGCATGGTATTCAGATGTTTTTTTGCGTTATGGCTCTCAAAGAATACAATGTAAATGTAAACCCAGGTCCATCCTTGGTCCTAGAGAGCCCTAGTCTGGCTGGTTAATGTGCATCTCGTTAGTTATCTGTTTTTAAAGAACTAAATTGTTTTCAGTTGCTGGTGATTTGTGAAAGTAACTTAAAATCATTCGGGAAATTCACTCCATAAGGACTAGAGATGCCTTAGTTGAGCATAGTATTATGGAAGGTGGTTGTAGACTAATTACGTTGCCCCTCAGGTTTGTGAGCCCCAGTCACGTGATGATAAATCTCCGGAATCTCTGTAATTGCATTGATGATTCCTCTTGAACCCTTTTTGTCTGATGACTCCGGGCCTGAAACAAACCTGAAAGAATGTAGCATGAAGTGCGCATTAATAACTCACTTAATGCCCTCACATGTAAAGCTTGCTGCGTTCATGGGTCCCAGGGATGCACAGCGAAGAGGTGCATTTAGTAAGCACAGTCTAACCATCCAGCTCCTTCCCCTTTCCAGACGAAGGGCCCGTCAGGCTAAGGCTCGGCGGATTGCTCCTCGCCCCGTGGCTGGACCCCTGCGACCCGCGGTGAGGTGTCCCACGATACGGTACCACACCAAAGTGCGTGCTGGCCGGGGGTTCACCCTGGAGGAGCTGAAGGTATGCCCTTTCCCCCGTGTTGTCCTGCTCCGGCTGTCTGTTCCCTGTGCTCGGTGTGAGGGTGGAAAAGATGCTGTCAGAGCTTATGTTCTGTTTTGCAGTGGTTCACAACTCTTAAAGGGAGGTTTTTGTAAATACTTAATCATCTGCAAGAGCCGATGTGCCATTTTTTAATTACGGTGTTTTTCATGGCGACACTATGCGAAGAGGGAGTTTTCTTTGGTTGTTGCTTTAATTATCTTTTGAGTAGGTAATTTGAGACAGAAGTTTAATAAGTTTTTGCTTTTCTCTTAATGATTACGCTAGCACCTTGAGCAGGCAGGGGGAGCATGTAATGGTTCAGCAGATTCAATGCATGTCTGACTCCTGGCAGATGCAGGGAGGGATCCTTTACACTTAATCTGCACATGTCGAAGAAAGGCCTTTTTTTCTTGCCGTCACCGCCTGGCTGAACCCAAACGTTGTCCTGAAAACGTGTTATCACATCAACAAAAGCCAACCCCGTGCTGTTTTTCTCTGTCCTTGTAAAGACTTGACGTCATGCCGCTCTGCAATGTCTTTCAGGCAGCTGGTATCCACAAGAAGACGGCCCGTACTATTGGCATCTCTGTTGACCCCCGCCGTCGCAATAGATCAACAGAGTCTCTGCAGGCCAATGTGCAGCGGCTGAAGGAGTACCGCTCCAAACTCATCCTGTTCCCCAGGAAGGCCTCTGCCCCCAGGAAAGGAGACAGCACTGTAAGTTACCTGCGTCACCTCAGAGCGGACTCGAGCGCTGGAAGAACTTGTGTAGAGCTGGGTGTGAGGTGGCAGTAGACTGCACTTGGGACGTTGACCAGTAGGATAGAGAAGCTTCTTGAATCGGCCCCACCTGATTGCATATCATGTCATGATCCATCCCCACTAGTCGGTTTTGAAGTTTTGAACTTGATTTGGGTGTTTAAATGGAAATCACATTTGTTAGTTTAACAGAGAATGGGCCCGGTACTTTTGACACTCGCAGGTGTCAGATTCAAGAGGCAAGGTGAGAGCATCAATGAGCTAGATTGCACAGTACACAATCGGATATTCCCGGCGGCAACATCCTGCTCTTCCTGCCAGGGTCTGTGGATCCTGCATTGGTCTTCGACAAACCCAAATTCAGTTAATAACACCACCATTCTCGATCATGAGGAATAGCCTGTAAAATGAAGCTAAACAACTCAATTGTCATCCTCTTTAAGGAGCCTTTCTGTAGCCTTTCTACCTGACGGTCCTGAAACCAGGAGTCATCCTTCACTGAATTCTCAATCTTACTGTTGCGTCTTGAAGCTGGTCATCCATGTATTTCAATATCACCCTTTGTGTTCTGTAGCGAAGTATTGTATGTTTTGTTTCCTCATGTCCTGATGAGGACAATCTATCGGATCACCCTGATCCCTTCACTGCAGTTTTCCTACAGCATTGAATCAACCATGCAATGCTCTTTAAGTGTGTGTACTGTGGATTACCTTACTCTTTTCAAAGTTAAATTAGGTCTCCTGTTGAATATTGCATTTCCTGGCTGCAGCTTCCTATTTCCAACTCCCCCTATGTTGTCCACAGATTTTTGCAGGTTGCTTGCTACCATAACCTAAATGGTTTCTATAGATAAGGGTGAGCTACTGGCATGCTTCTGTTATGGTGTGACGGTCATTATTTCTTGATGAGAACTTTACCAGTAACAATTAAGACTGGTCTGTTTCATACCCCCATTATGAACTGGTATAATAGGAACTTCTAATTTCGCAGTCAGTTGATCATCAGGCAAGGTGCACCCTTAACTGTACTCTGGGTCCTTCTGGCTCTCCTTGAGAGAGTGAAGTTCTTTAAAGACTGAAGGATTATAAAAGGAACTTGTCACATCGTTGTTCTAAACATTTATATGAGAAAACAAAGCATAAACACCTTGTAATCTTGACTGCTTATATGTGGTTATAAATGCCCTTATGTCTGCCTTCCTTAAAGTGAAACCGCTGCAGGTTTGGACAAGTTTACGAATCAAGAGATAAAATAAATGATCTGGGGAGGGCATTTCTTCTCTGCTCCTCCAGGTGACCCCTTTTTTCTGGTGGGGAAAAAAAAAACTTTTGCAGAGACAGATTCAGAATTAAGTAGGTTTGGACAGTAATCGGTAAACATGAAAACAAGGTTCTCGTCTCGTTCTCCACATCGTTCCTGCTTGTTCAGTATTAATTTGCTCCTCAGTGGAAACAAGATCCAACCACAAAGTCAAGTGCATTTTTGTATTGGTCAGGATTGAGTGGGGTTGGGTTTTTTTCAGATGTTTGTCAGGCAGTGTATTTGTTTTAATTAAAAGGTACTGCTTTTGAGATGCGTTTTCGAATGCTGGCAACAATGCAAACTCATATTTGGAACACTCGTTTTTTTTCCCTCCAGGCTGAAGAGGTCAAGATGGCCACACAGCTCACTGGACCTGTTATGCCAATCAGAAGTGTAAGTTAAAGAGACTTCCTCTGTAAGGTTTACATTTTTAGGTTTAGGATAGACAAACCTGCTTAAGAAAGCAAGTGTACGTGTGTGCTTCTTGGGTCAAGAGGTAGCATGTTTCCCTGTGGTCGTTTAATGTCATGAGTGAATTCAATGTGACATCTTTTGGAATGCTTTTCCATGTTGGAGTGCTTGGTATCAGTTTTGTAATTCCAGGTATCTTATAATGCTAGGGTACAGTTTTTATTGCAGCGAATCAGACCTTGATTGTACAGGTTGTAGACTGTTGAAAGTTATAAGCAGATGACCCTCAAAATAGTTTTCCTGGCGTTAGACCTGAGAGTTCTGGTTGTGAAGTTGGCAGCTCCTGACTTTGTTCTGTGTTACAGGTGTATAAGAAAGAGAAGGCCCGGGTGATCTCCGAGGATGAGAAGAACTTCAAGGCGTTTGCCAGTCTGCGCATGGCCCGTGCCAATGCTCGTCTCTTTGGCATCCGTGCCAAGAGAGCAAAGGAAGCTGCAGAGCAGGATGTGGATAAGAAGAAATGAGCAGTAGTTTCTATGGAACTTTCAATAAAAAGCACCAACAGTTAAATAATGCCTTGTGTGCGAGCGTTCATTTCTCTTGAGGATCAGCGTCTTTTGGTGGTTTCGGAGGGATTGTGGTTCTGTAGCTCAAATGTTTCACATAATTGCCCCTTTTGCAAATTTTCTTGCAAAATTGCACTTAAGGCAACATTTCTGAATAGCCCTGAAGTCCAAATTTAACTTTGTGGAGTTATTTGATGCAAATCACTCAAACATCTGAGATATCTTCACATTTTTTTAAACAAATTGAGTTGTATCCTTGTTCATGGTGCTGATTTTTTGGCAGGAAGGCTGTTAGCGCTGAATTATATCTATGAAGGAGTTGTATGTATGGCTAACAGGATACATTTTATCTGTTTTGAGGCAGTCCAATTTTTGATCTTCTTAAAGCTTTTAAGGCTCAGAGTTTTATTTTGATCTTTTAGTAATTTACAATACTTAAATACACTCCTTCAGTTTTACACTGATTTGGAGGTGGTGCAAGCACACTTGAAGTGCTGTCTTTCAACAGTAGGTGGCAGCGGCAGCATGTTCAATGTATTGTAGCAGGGTTTTCTATAGGAGCATTTGATGTCGGCAGGTAATGCTCTGTGAAGCTCCTAATGTTTCATTGAGCGTTGTTAGTATAGCAGTATGGCAGCCGTTTGATTGTTCCCTTGCATGGAGAAAAATAATGAGCATCTCTTGAGTTGTATTTTAGGATTAGTGTGGGAGATATGGAGGGGTGTAGACCTTAAAATGCTGGAATTATTAAGGATCTGGCTTGAAGTAAAATTACACCAGATTTCTTGAATCTAATAAAGCTTGTGTTAGAATCTTCGGAATAATGTGTAATAGTCTGAGCTTCATATCTGGAAAACGTTTCTCAGTACTGTACTGGATGGGCGGGGGTCAAGCACCATTGTACTAAAATATACCCATGAATATCTCGCCTTGCACTGCAGGAAAAGCGCTTGTGTGTTAACACTGCATGATAAGTAGACCTTGGATCTCTAAAGAAATGCAACTGCTCATGATGATGTCTGAAGGTTTAGCATCCCATCTTCCTTGATCCACTATTCTTAGCTTTCTCTTCATTTCAAAAGAGTGGAGGAAGCACTTTTTATTGTAACAAGAGAGAAGCGGGCATAGCCAGGCTGTTCTGGCTCAGTGTTGACATCTGTAGCATCTTTTAAACCGGCCTCCTGTTTTTTTTTTCCCCTGGAAAAAAAATGGAATGGAGATTATTAGCAGGCAGCATCTGAACATTTTGTGCCGAGCCACATGGCGCATGTGATGTGGTTTTCAATTAGCTGGAGCTATGAGTGTCTGACTGCTGAGTGCCAGCCTTGACATTCTCAGATCACCACGGCAACAGGAGAGTATTCCACTTTGACAAGTAAATGTCAGGGTGCTATGAGCTCTGCCAGGAGCAGAGCCGTTGCAGGTTGCAGAAGTTGACAAACTTATGTCAGCGTGGCGCCCAGCTGAGGTGGATGATCATCCGCCGTGTAAAAATGGAGGGACTGCCGAAAAGGTTCACACAGGTTCAGAATGGGGGTCACGGACGCCTTGGTTAGAAGGACTGCCTTGCAGATCTGGGTTCAGTTCTGGACCTGGGGTAAAATCTTTGTGGAGTTTGCATGTTGAGTATTATTCTCTTCATGTTCACGTGGGTTTTCTCCCACAGTCCAGACACCTACTGGTGTGCTCACCGGCCTCTCGGTGAGCTGGCTCTGGTGTGAATGTGTGCGTGTCTCCGTGTCTCTGTCTGCCCTTCGATGGACTGGCATCCCGTCCTGGGTCTTCCCCACCTTGTGCCCACGGCTTGTCAGGATAAGCTCCAGCTCCCCTGTGACCCTGGATGGGATGACGTTGCCGGGAAATGGATGGATTGGTACTTTCAAAATGCTGAAATGATGAGCACCTCTGGCAGAGGGGTCTCGACAACCTTGCTTGAGGAGACCGTTAACGCTGCACAACGCGGCTTATTCAGTGGGAATTTGTTAGTAGGAAAGCCTGTGAGAGATGATAGAAGAATCTTATGAATTTTTGATTGAACAGTTTGATTCCAATCTTGCTTAGTCTATTGCTGGCCTTTTCCTGGCTGATGTCCATCGTGTGGGAATTGCTGAATTTGGCTGAATCGATAAAGAGGTAAAACTGAAGTTATGGAAGGGGGTGATTTGGTGCACCTTAATTGTGTGATTCCCATAGACAGAGGCATCCTTGAGAGAAGTGTGAGGTCAACACTGATTAAAAAATTCGGAGGAATTTCAGGAACCACAGCATTCCTTATTAATAGTCCCTCCGAGTCTTTACCTTGTTGAAAATACAGTGAAAGCTTGTAATAACACTGGATAAGGTCAAAAAATAGGAAAGAGAGGCTGATTGGTTAGACTGATGTGAAACATCATCAGAAGAAAAACAGCTCTTTTACTTGTTCATGCTGCTTCTACCTTTTTTACATGGATTATAGTTAAGAATCAAACTAACCTCCAGAAGAATTCCACGAGGCAGAGAACGCAAGTGTGATTCAAAATGTGGGGCAGGTAGGGTTGTGCCAGAAGCTGAATTATATGAAGTTTGCTCTGTCTTAAGGCAAACCAAATAATGTGTGAGACGGGAGGGCGACTTGGTTCAATTATAAAGCTTTTAGTGATATGCAAGAAAAATCTGTGACTGTCCATCTAGCATTTTATTTGTGTTTCATAGAAGATCCAGAACATTTCTAGGTTTTAAGGTGAAGAACTAGACAGCATAAATAATTTTCGTCTGAGGTCTCATTACTGCCTCACTTGTGAAACTTAGTTGCATTTCTTAGCTTGATTGTTAGCATTCATGCATAAGTTTAAGACCATGACATAATTAAAATAGATGAGCAATATTTTTGATTATTAGTAAGTGACTTGTCACTTTAAAACTAGAGGCTGTTTTAAGTGTTTTTCAAGTACTCTCTTTATACCTGTTGAACCTGTGATAGGTATTTACTGTGAAAATGGCAGCTACATAACATCTTTGTTGACAGATGCTTGACATTAATCTGCCAAGCCTATAGTATTCATCCCTTCAGCTTTGTATAATTTCTCCAGCTGTCAGGGTCTGTAGCAGAAAACAGGTCATCTCTCCATAGACAAACAGTGAAATGGGTACCTTTCATTTATAAAAAAATTCATGGCAGACCCAGTTTAAGATGTCAATTCTTTCTGTGACTTTCACTCTCCTGCCTCTTGAGAAGATCAAACAAGAGTGACTTCACCTTAAGGTTTGGCCTCTGTGCTCTTTTTATAATTGGAACCCCTTTCTGACTTTTTTCTTTTTCTAAGAGATATGTTAATGAATATCCAGTATAAACAGACAAATTCCCATTGGGGTCTTTCTTTACATGTTACAGCAGCAGATGGCAGGACGCCTGACTAACAGCCTTGAGTCACCTCCTGTGAAAAGCCCAGAAATACTGTCCCAGTCTGTCTGCATTTTGACACTGAGATACAGGTAGCTAACAATGATCCATCCAGCTACGGTAAATATGGAGGACTAAAGCTTAATGTCCAAGGAAAAGAACAGAAAATGTATACCCCAATTCCACTAACTAATTTCAGAATTAGGTATTCATCGGGAATATTATCCCTTACATCACTGATGAAAGACTCTAAATTAAATTAGCTCATTTCATACCTAAATGACAGAGCCGAGAGACCCTGCATGTTCAAATTGTAGGTACATCATAAAAAGGTTTGTGTGCTCTGAAAGATTTAAATAAAGAATGATGCAGCATGGTCTTTCCATGCACCAGCAATAATTTTGACGCTTTTGTAAAGAAATATATCATAACATAACACTGCCATTGCTAGATGAGGTGAACCACCATAAAATGGATGATCTGATGCTGTAATAAATACAGTGGAGCTGATTTGACTGTTCTGAGAAGTTAAAAAGGGAACTCTGTACTGTACAACATAAGCATTGTGTAATCAAAGATGTGGAAAATGTACCTTTTTTTACTTTACTCCATCCTTGGTTGCTTGCAGAATATAGAATGTAATCTACAGGGCAAATCTAAATGCTGCAAATCAGCACAAGCTATCCAACCTGGAGAATGGAGGAGTAGTACTAAATCACACCGAAAGAGAAAACCACTGAAACTTTATACTGTGCAATCTAATCCTTTGTTGCAATATATCCACTGGTATGATAAAGTACCATTACCCACACTAACAACCCAATCCACTTTGATTGCAATTACTGTCAATAGACATCATAAAGCACTTGTACAGTGATTAACTAACTGTGTACTAACACAGAAGACTTACAGCCCACTTAAGCCCCAAGTGATACATTTAAGGCACTTACAGCAGATGTAAAACAAAGTCAGTACAAATGCATCTTCTTGTGTTTTGCAAAATGAACAAAGTAACTGGCAAATAGATGAAATAGTCAGAAAACATTTAGAAACCCTCAGGATTTAAAGTAATTCAAATTACTTACAGGAATGCTGTATACAAATCTGGAATATGCCCAACATGTACAAATAAAAACAAAAAATGAACTTGGAAAAGTTTAATAATTTTCTATTTTTATTATGGCTTAATTCTGGTTTCTTTGTTGCACTAATTGTATTCTTTTAATTTTTGGTCTTCTTTCACTCAGTTTAGAAAGGAAGATTTAATCTCTCATGAGACAAATGGGCTGTGACATCATGTCCTTTAAATATATCAGCACTGTCAGTGGATATCTTAAATGAATTTAATAAGCTAAAGAATGCCTTGAAACACAGAATGTGTTTTTCAATATTCAAGTGCTGATGGCTGAGATTTTTAAGCTATAATTAGTTTTTGGCTTTATGATTAAAGGCATGTCTGGTATAACATCTGAAAGACAGATACTATTCACTAACCACTTACAAAATGTTGTTCTTATTGTGAGGCAGAGAGAGGGGCTTTTAGAGAAAGTCATCAACCAATAAGAAAAACCTGTAAAAACAAGCTGATTGAGTAACTGGCACTCAGAGTGAATGAAATTCCACATGGGTG